GGGGGCAGCAGGCTGCTGCCAAGTGAGCTCAGAGGCAGAGGGGCAAGCGGGACCTCGCTCTCCCCCCATGAAGCGCCCGGGCTGGTGCTGAATATGGGGAGCTGGTGCTAAAGCCCTGGCAAGGGTGTGATCACACTGGCCCTTGGCAGCGAGCCCACCCCCTACCCTCCCCCAGAACCGGAGCAGGCTGGGACCCCAGCCAACGTGGGTCCCAGGCACCTCCTCACCCTGCTCAGCACGTCCAGCTTGCGGCTGTAGGTGAGGCAGCGAGTGGCCATCATGGTGCTGGTGGGAGATCCGCAGGGCCTCCAGGACCCGCGAGCGCACGAACTTGCGGCCGTTGGCGGAGGAGGCCAGGACTTGCTCGAGGTAGATGGAGGGGTAGAGCGCGGTGCTCTCCTTCCAGAGCCAGGCCAGGCGGTCATTGCGAGTCTCCTCCACGTCCGGGCAGTGCCCGGTGTAGCTGTCCGGGTTCTTGCTGTAGTCGTGGTTGTAGCAGTCCGGGAAGAGGTAGTAGCCCCACAGCTGTTTGGGCCGGTAGCGCTTGGCACACTGCAAGGTGCGCAGCATGAAGTCCCGGGCCGAGGTCTCGAACTCATACTGGGCCTGCTTGCTCACCTGGTCCTCCGGCCAGTCGGGGTGGCGCGACAGCACCAGCTGGCGGGATCCGGGTTCTTGCTGTAGTCGTGGTTGTAGCAGTCCGGGAAGAGGTAGTAGCCCCACAGCTGTTTGGGCCGGTAGCGCTTGGCACACTGCAAGGTGCGCAGCATGAAGTCCCGGGCCGAGGTCTCGAACTCATACTGGGCCTGCTTGCTCACCTGGTCCTCCGGCCAGTCGGGGTGGCGCGACAGCACCAGCTGGCGGGAACTCTGGCGGTAGATGTCCTTGTTCTGCCAGTTGCGGATCCAGATGGGCCGCCACTCCTCCCAGTCGATGATGGCCAGCCCCTCCTTGGCCTCCGAGCGGATGTACTTGCCGATGCCCTCACGGAGCCGGCCCAGGTGCTCGCTGATGCTGCTGTTCTGGGGGACGCCACCATTCACGGCCACCTGCTGCTCGTCGTAGTAGGGGTAGCGGCCCAGGCGCTCCTTGTAGAAGATGGTGAGGTTCTGGTCCACGAAGCCCTCGTTGGGCGAGGCCTGCAGGTCAAAGAGGGTGAAGTCCAGCTGCACCTTGAAGCGGGGCCGGCAGTCCTGGGTGGGTGCGTTCCAGGCCACGATGAAGGGCTTCCTGGTGAAGAGGGGGGCGAAGGCTGGCTTCTCGGCCTGCCCACGGGCACCGGCCACAGCAAGCAGCAAGAGCCATGGTACTGCCAGCGCGGCACCTGCCCGCATTCTCTCACCGGGTCACGGGATGGCGTCAGGTCACAGCCTGTAGGGGGCAGGGCTGTAAGAGGGGCAGGCAAAAGGCACCCCCCACCCCATCTGTGCCCTTGTACCACCGCCACCCACTACTCCAACCCTGCCTTGCCAACCCCCCTCCACTCCTGCTGGCACCTCCCGGGCTCTGCCCCTGCCCTCCTCTGAGCACCTCCCAGCACCACTCTGAGCTGCCAATGCTTTTCCAGCTCGCAGAGGAGCCCCTCCCAGCACCACTCTGAGCTGCCAATGCTTTTCCAGCTCGCAGAGGGGAAACTGAGGCACGAAGCCCAGGTGATTCGCCCGAGGCCACCTAGGAAGCCGCAGCAGAGCTGGGAAATGAACCCAGCTCTCCCCAGACCAGCCTCCCAGCCCCGCGGCAGCCCGCCCTGCTCTACCGGGCACCTCCCCC